AAATGCCACCCCATAGAGTTTGCCTCTTTATTAGGAAATGTGTGAGCACAACATACTGATACAGTCATTTAAAATTTCATTCATAACTTTTTGGAAAGGCGCAGTTGAATATTCCCATAATAATGTGTGATCATTACAAAATCCCATGACACACCTGGATTGGCATCACGTCACACCATTTGAGAACCACTGATCTTTATAATGGAGGAAAGCAGTTAAAGAGAACTGACAAACTGTTTATCCTGGCACACCGACCAGAGTTATATTATAAACTAGAGTCCATCTTGTGCTGGGATCACTTCAGCAATGATAAACCAAGCAGAGATTCTGGCCTCTAGTTTCGCAGACTGGGCGAGGCAGAGGCGCAGCGCACCTGCGCTTCGCCAACTAGGTGTGGCCAGGCGGATTTTGCAAGTTTGGCACACCGTGCGCGCTGGCGCAGCTACTCCTCTTACCCACCTCCGTCCCTCCTACCTGCGCAAGTCGGAAAGAGGGAGGAGAGAAGGCGTGGAGTGGATTTTACACACATCACACCAATCACATGAGCCCCTCTCCTTGCCCTTAAATGCGCTGTGCAAAGACATAATGAGAGTTTACTCAATTCGCCATGGCAGAAGAGAGCAGCAGTGTCAGACAGCCAAACTTCTCCCAGGAGGAAACTGATGTTTTGGTCCGGGAGGTCCAAGCTCGCAGTGTCCTAATATACCGAACTGTCAGCAGACCTCCACTGGTTTCCATTTCCGCCGGTCAGCCAAACTTCCACTTACACCGGCTGCGCTCCACCTGCTCTGACAGTAGACCTGGTTTCAGTTGGCGAGCTTTTAGCACACCTTCGGCGAAGCCTTTTGGCACGAAACTGTCACTGCGCCAAGCTGGATCTGTCGACACCTCCCCCTGCTGCTCCGCCACACCCATCTCAGCTCACCTCTGTCTGCCATACTACCAAACTGAGCGCGCCTCGGGTTGCGCTGCTCGAAACTAGCTCTGCGTGGGGTTCGCCACCCTGCGCCGCACCGGGAAACTAGAGGCCTTAAAGTTAATGTTGGCTAAGGGTGTAAAGTTGGGGGGCCAATAGCTCCTTCCCTACTTCCTGTGCTCTTGCTTGGACCACACCCATCTTCAAACTCAGCCTTCATTGTGATCTCAGCTACACACCTGTAAAGTTTTGTGACTCTATCTTGCACAGTTGTAACATTATTATGTGAACAAAATCTGTCAACAGACAGACAGTCATATGACGAACCAAACCACTTCTGTGGCTTCTGTGGTACTTCCCACTACAATTGGTGTCACCTGGACCACATTTTGCCATGATGACAGACACGAGGTGTAAACAATACCAGCAGTGGCTGCGTTGTTGCTGGTAAATACCTTGTTTTGTTGGTGATGTTTACAGCAGAGCATTCTGTCTAAACACACTGAACAAAATCAAGTAATAAACATTTCAAATATTTTTAATTTTGGACCTAATTAACATTTTAGGTGCATGAAGTTACACACCAATGGGTGCATGCACAGAATAATATGCTAGCTTCTGTATATGTACATTGAGATCCATATGCACACATACATGGCCAATAAAGCTGATTCTGATTGTGTTTGACATGAACACACTGTGTGAAAGGGTTAAGACAGGTTAAACCTACACTGCCACATGTTCAGTTACACACCCACGGAGGCGAAGGAATACCAGGAAATCTACTGTAGGACAGCATCCTGGGAAGACTGGACCACACCTAGTTAACCTGTGTGTGTGAGTGTGTGTTTTACAGTAATCTTATCACCACAACATGACAAAAGGAAATTCTCTGGACAAATTTAAAGGGGCGTATAATTCAAACACCTCTGGTTACTTGACTGACGCACGTTATAAAAAGTTGCATTTTCTTTTTGAAGTTATAGGAATAAACATAAGTTTGGAAAAGGCTGAAGATCCTTGGAGATAATGATAAGAAACTGCTGCTGCTGCATTTGGCTAATGTCGCTTCAATAATCAAACTGTTGTAAACTGGATAACCGTTATCTTTAGTGTGTAAGCGCGTCCACGTGTGCACGTATGTGTGTACACAAACAACAGTCTCCCATTGTGTTGAAGACAGTAGCGTGAGAGCGACCAGAGGGTTAGCTGCGCATCACATCAAAGATTTGGGTGTTTGTAAAAGACCCCACTGTCAACACACACACACACACACACAATTACAAACTCCCATCTGAGACCCATCCCCCCGCAGCTTTCTGTGCTCCTCACACTAAACAATCAGGTATGACAGGCGTGGCCTTTCTGGGTCCCAGCGGGACCCGAAAAAGACAAAAGACCCTCAGGAAGAGGCCGTCCACTCATCCTCACTGAGGACACAAATCTCTCCCTCACACACACAAGAAAGGAGGACAATAATAGCTGTGAGTTTGTGTTTAAAGGGACAGTTTGCGGGATTTAGCGGCATCTAGTGGTGAGGAGTGCAGATTGCACCCAGCTGAAATGTCTGTGTGCCAAGCGTGAACTCCCAGTTAGGATTCATTCACTATTCATGAACCATTTTCACAGCAGACATTTTGACTTGTCACAGAAGGAAAAACACAGGTAAAACTGAAAACATCCATGATGGCTAAGTTCCATTTAGCTTCCCAACACCAGGGCCTCCTCCAAATGGAATACAGCTATCAAAAATGTTATTGAATGCACCTGTGTTTTTCCTACCATGATGTGTCATAATGTCTGCTATGAAAAAGGTCTATTGTTCAGGAGGTTTTTACCAGTATCTCTCCAAAACAAACAGACCCGCTGATTAAAAACAGGTTTCTCCGACGCTGTTTGGCATGTTGGAGAGAGGCCACTAGCCCAGTCCTGCTAATGTGTGTTCACCTTTTTTCTCTGCCAACTTAAGATCAAAATGTTCAGGAGGCTTTTATCAGGAGCCAAATTATCTGCAGAGGTCTCTTCCTCTCCAGAACAAACAGATGCAGTGATTTAAACCAGTAAAATCAGTGAATTATTAATTTTCTTGTTAAAAAACAACAACTGTGTTTTCCAATGCTTTAATTGCACAGGTGCTGTGAAACTACGGTGGCTGACACAAAAATGTGAATGGCCCATCAAGAGCCAGTGTTTAGTTTGTCCATTCTGGACTACTGTAGAAACATGACGGTGCAACGTGGCTCTGTGGATGATGACCAGCTACCTATGTAGAGATAAAAGGCTCATTCTAAATTAACAAAACATGATAATCCTACTTTCAGGTGATTATATACTGAAGAAAACATTATGAGATTATATTTATTTTTTTCCAATATATCCCTCCTAAATCCTACACACCAGACTTTTAAATCTTCAGATTACTTATTCACATCTCTCCCAAACTCCTGATTGTCCCCTATGAGTTCCTCTTCTAAGATGTTTTACACACTTTGACAGTGTGTGCAGTATCAGCTTGTGCCTACAGGATATCACTGTTAGGGAAATGCTTCCTTCACATTGAAATATTTTGCATGTTACTTTTTCAAGTTTGTTGAAAAAGTCTAAAGTCTTAAAGTCCTTAAAATTATTATAATATTTGTTATAATTATTCTAAATGACATAGGTATTCTATTACCTGTTTTTTTATTTTTTTACACATAAAAAGTTAAAGATGGCAAACAGTCATACAAGTGTTTCTTTATTCATTTATTTATCTTATTTTTAACTTTATATCATCACTTTCAACACAATGCATCTGGTGGTCAATATAGTCACTTTGGAAAGCAATACTTTACAACATAGATATTTCTGGCAGATATATAGGCGAGGAAAGGTTGTGTTAGGGGAGTGCATATTTATTTTTCGACACTGGGTGGTACTTTGACTGTAGATAAAATTGGGTTTATTACTCATTCATTTCATTGGCTGGTAAATAGACTGGGGATAGTTGTATATTAGTTGTAAATACGTTTGGGAATTTGTTGTGAAATGTACGAGTAAAAGAAGAAATGTAAGAAAGGGGCAGGGACATGTAAGTTTTACTTACCTACTTACCTACCTACTCCTTTTGGACACTGTTATCTTTGTCTTGTTTGTTTTTTATTATTTATTCTTTCAAATTTTTGGTTTGAAATAAAGTCATTTATTCATTCATTCATTAAATGACCATACACCACAAATGAAAATGTGACAAGTACCCACACTCTCACAATCTCACACTCACACACAGGGGTTTGCCTAATTGGTTATAAAGTTGTACTATACACATAAATCAGTAGTTTTGGTTAGTTATTTATTACATATTCTTAAGTTTTATATTATTTTCAGATATGTATCTAGAGCTGAACTCTTGAAAGCAGGAAATGAGGGCAATTTCTTTAAGTATTTTGTTTTCTGAATATAAAATTTAGCTAGCAAAAATGAGCAACTTAATCATATATTGTTCATTCTTGGAGAAATTTGGATTTTTGAATATCAGTTATTAACAAATCAGGTTCTTTGACTGAAATGTTCTTGCCAAAATGTCTTTGAAGATCCAACTTAAAAAATCAGTTCAGAAGATGTCACATGTTCATTCACACATTGAAAGAATAAATGTTCTAATGTTTCTATCATATTGTTACAAAGGTGCATTTGTCATGTCAGGTATGTATCTGTAAATAATAGAATTCACTGGATAATATATGTGACTTTATTTTTAAACCTTGTGAATCCCTGGTTTGGCCATGTGTTTTTTCTGAGTGTATTTCTAAATTGAAGGTGTTTTGTTTGTTTGGTTTCTGTCTGAACGTCATCAGTCATAGCCTTGCATTCTGGCGCCCTCAAGTGGCCACAATTTGTCATTGCAGGACATTTTATTTAATTTAGAGGGGAAATATAGATATAAACAAATGCACAACGCAAAAATAAAGACAAAAATCAGCTGTGGTTTAAAATATTATAAGTTATGGTTTTCTATAATTCGGTTGTGTTGTTTCCGGTCGGTCGCAAGATGGCGCTGAATCAACTCCGCTCATCTTTCCACCTCAGCGTGCTTCACTCTTCCGGGTGTGTCGTTGACCATGTGAGAGTTCACAGGCCACGCAGAGGTCGTGTTGTGCTTTTGCTTTAGCGCGACTTGTTTGTAGCTAGCTGGTCCCCGTGATGTGATGGCTTTCCTGAGTCTATTCCTGAGAAGGCAGCTGCCGCCGGCCGTGTGTCACTTCGCCCGGACAACAGTGAAGCTGCTCCGGTCTCCCTGCGCCGGGGCGCCGCTGCGGAGGCTGCACAGCTCGCCCCGGCTGCGGCACGGAGAGAAGGGACCGTGGGGGAAGAGCCGGGGGCCGGAGCAGCAGTACCAGCTCACAGACCTCGACAAGGCGGACGCTTTGGTAGGAACATGTACATGGAGATCATGTAGTGAGCTTCCTATACAGAGGAATGTCCCTGCTGGGTTTGCTTTCGTTTCTCCTCCTCTGTGTCACTGTAAATCCACAATAAGTAAGTTTAGATAAGAAAACTGAGGTTGGTGTTCCTAATAGGTGTCATCTCTGTCTTTTGTAGATGCTGAGGAAGTCCCATGAGACAGGTAACCTGACCAGATTCATGCTGGATATTTAACTTTTGTCAGCATAAGCCTCCACCTCATACACCAGAGCTGTTGTGTGCCCAGCAGCTACACTGTAGGTGTACCACACTTACAGGAGTAACAGAGCAGCACCTGATGGGTTATGAAAAACTATCCCAGTTAGTGATGATGTAGCAGGTGTTTTACCTTTGATAGGTGGTGGAAATGCCAAATTTGACATCATAATTTGGAGGACTTACTTAATAGCATTGACATAACAGAGCAATAAGAAAGCTGCAGAAAGCTGACAGGGTGTCTGCAGGTCCTTGAAGAGTCTTAAAATGTCTTACATTCAATTGTGCAACAATAAGATGGCGTTGAAAGTCATTAAGTAGTCTTAAACTTGAATTTGTGAGGCCTTAACTACTACAAACATTTTATCTAATTTCATTCATACATCTTTTAATTTCTTGTTTTTTTGTTGTACGTAAAAGTCTCCACATTTCTAATGTTACAAATCTTTAAAAAAATATTATACTGTCATTTTACTTCATTCTTACACTTACCTGTCGGCAAAATGTAGATCAACTTAACTCACTCTATTAACCATATTCCTACATAGCACCTACCTCTTCGCAAGACCACATACAGTACAGGCCAAAAGTTTGGACACACCTTCTCATTCAATGCGTTTTCTTTATTTTCATGACTATTTACATTGTAGATTCTCACTGAAGGCATCAAAACTATGAATGAACACATGTGGAGTTATGTACTTAACAAAAAAAGGTGAAATAACTGAAAACATGTTTTATATTCTAGTTTCTTCAAAATAGCCACCCTTTGCTCTGATTACTGCTTTGCACACTCTTGGCATTCTCTCGATGAGCTTCAAGAGGTAGTCACCTGAAATGGTTTTCCAACAGTCTTGAAGGAGTTCCCAGAGGTGTTTAGCACTTGTTGGCCCCTTTGCCTTCACTCTGCGGTCCAGCTCACCCCAAACCATCTCGATTGGGTTCAGGTCCGGTGACTGTGGAGGCCAGGTCATCTGCCGCAGCACTCCATCACTCTCCTTCTTGGTCAAATAGCCCTTACACAGCCTGGAGGTGTGTTTGGGGTCACTGTCCTGTTGAAAAATAAATGATCGTCCAACTAAACGCAAACCGGATGGGATGGCATGTCGCTGCAGGATGCTGTGGTAGCCATGCTGGTTCAGTGTGCCTTCAATTTTGAATAAATCCCCAACAGTGTCACCAGCAAAACACCCCCACACCATCACACCTCCTCCTCCATGCTTCACAGTGGGAACCAGGCATGTGGAATCCATCCGTTCACCTTTTCTGCGTCTCACAAAGACACGGCGGTTGGAACCAAAGATCTCAAATTTGGACTCATCAGACCAAAGCACAGATTTCCACTGGTCTAATGTCCATTCCTTGTGTTTCTTGGCCCAAACAAATCTCTTCTGCTTGTTGCCTCTCCTTAGCAGTGGTTTCCTAGCAGCTATTTGACCATGAAGGCCTGATTGGCGCAGTCTCCTCTTAACAGTTGTTCTAGAGATGGGTCTGCTGCTAGAACTCTGTGTGGCATTCATCTGGTCTCTGATCTGAGCTGCTGTTAACTTGCCATTTCTGAGGCTGGTGACTCGGATGAACTTATCCTCAGAAGCAGAGGTGACTCTTGGTCTTCCTTTCCTGGGTCGGTCCTCATGTGTGCCAGTTTCGTTGTAGCGCTTGATGGTTTTTGCGACTCCACTTGGGGACACATTTAAAGTTTTTGCAATTTTCCGGACTGACTGACCTTCATTTCTTAAAGTAATGATGGCCACTGGTTTTTCTTTAGTTAGCTGATTGGTTCTTGCCATAATATGAATTTTAACAGTTGTCCAATAGGGCTGTCTGCTGTGTATTAACCTGACTTCTGCACAACACAACTGATGGTCCCAACCCCATTGATAAAGCAAGAAATTCCACTTATTAACCCTGATAAGGCACACCTGTGAAGTGGAAACCATTTCAGGTGACTACCTCTTGAAGCTCATGGAGAGAATGCCAAGAGTGTGCAAAGCAGTAATCAGAGCAAAGGGTGGCTATTTTGAAGAAACTAGAATATAAAACATGTTTTCAGTTATTTCACCTTTTTTTGTTAAGTACATAACTCCACATGTGTTCATTCATAGTTTTGATGCCTTCAGTGAGAATCTACAATGTAAATAGTCATGAAAATAAAGAAAACGCATTGAATGAGAAGGTGTGTCCAAACTTTTGGCCTGTACTGTATATACCACTTATCCGCAATGCTTACTTGCAGTGCTTAAATAATTTGTCCAAAAATCTGTCCTAAATTTGATTATAAGGTGTCTTGAAAGGGTCTTAAAATAGCATTACATTTAACTGATAACTGTAGACACCTTGTGTAAAAAGGTCAATAGAGATGCACCTAATGATTATTTTCATTATCAGTTAATCTGCTGATTATTTTCATCATTAATTGATAAATTGCTTAGTGACAACAGTGGAAATGCTCCTCACAATTTCCCAGTGCCCAAAGTGAAGACTTCACTTTGCTTCTTTTGTCCAACCAACAATCCATAACCCAAAGACTCTTCATTTATTATCATAAAATAACAAAGAAAAGCAGCACATTCTCACATTTGACAAGCTAGAACCAGCAAATGAGTGACATTTTTGCTTTGATTATGAAAATGGAGTGATCGACTGATCTTTCAGCTCCAAAGGTCAATATGGGTGGGAATCAGAGGATCCACGGTACGATATCATGATAGTTAAGACAAGATACAGTATTATAGCGATTTTAATTATGTTGTGATATGCTGAGTATTATGATTTTTAAAAAATTCAATATATTGCGACCTATGACATTTTTTCAGCTGTAAATAATTTCCCCAAAGGAACATCTGTCAATATATGTTTTATCTAATTACAAAGTTTTGAGTCTGTTCATCTCACTTCATTTTTTGCAGCAGCAAAATGTATCTAGCAAACTGAAAAAGCAATTGATTATATTATTCTAATAGGCTGCCAAAAGTTTAATATGTATTTGAAATATTAATAAATTGTATAATGAAAAAAAATCGTGTGTGACGATATGATATTGCCACACAAAAATATTGCAATATTATGCTGTGTCGATTTTTTCCCCCACCCCTAAAGTTCAGAGGGTATACAGTAACTTTAGTGAGGAGGAGTGAGAAATATATCATTTAGTTTACGGATGATTGAGCTGTTTGTTGATTGACAGGGTTTCAGTCTGTCACAGTGATGGGAAGTGACACTGAGGTTCAGACTGGAGTCAGAACTTTATTTAAGCTCTGAGGAGGCAGCGGGGAGAGAGCAGTGGTGTGGGTGTAGTGATGAGCAGGCAGCACAGGCAAAAATAATACTGAGATTAAAAATAAAAATGGAAACTCAGCATTATACAGAAAGTGTCTTTATTTATTACCTTTATCTTATCAGCTTTATTGTTATTATGACAGAGATTACGTAATGTAAGTCCATGTATGAGGGCTGTAACTAACAATTACTTTCATTATCAGGTAATCTGTATATTAATTATTAGTTGTTTGGTCGATAAAATGTCACAAAATGGTAAAAAAAAAAAAATTGTCTTCAAATGTGTTGTTTTCTTTGCAAATTAAAGATATTAAGTTTACTGTCAGAGAAGTTAAGTAACCAGAACATATTCACATTTAAAAGATTCAGTGTGTAGAATTTAGGGGAATATATTCTAATACGTATGCCTTAGTGTTGTCACGATACCAAAATCTTTGTTTCGGTACCAATACCAATTTCGATACTCTTCGGTACTTTTTCTAAGGAAAAGTCCTTTTGGATACAAACCTTTAGAACAATAAATAGTAGGGGTGTAACGGCACCAAAAAAAAATCATGGTTCAGTAAGTACCTCGGTACGGACGTCATGGTTTGGTTGCTTAAATGTTTCACCAAGTTGGTGTTGTCTCGTCTTGTCTCCCTTTGCGAGGCAGACTTTCTCTTGCCTTTTTTCACGTGTGCCAGCTGCGAATGTTGATATAGGTGTTGTTCAATGTTCAATTTAAAAAGTACCGGTATTTTCCAAATGCAGTATAGTACCGTTTGGAATACTCTAGTACCGCGGTACTATTTTAGTACCACGGTACTATTTTAGTACCGGTATACCGTGCAACACTAGTATGCCTTCAAGTGCATAATCCCCAGTAAAGAAGAAAAGTTGTGTTTTTGTTACCTTAGAATGTGCCCTTTATATCTACAAAGAGAGTGGGTCCTCTTTCACAGAGTCTACCATGTTTCACTGCCATGTTCCTACAGTAGCCCAAAACAGACAAACCAAACACTGTCTAGATAGGGCTCCTTACATTTTTGCACCGCCCACCGTAGTTAGCAGCCCCTTTGGCGATGAGCAGCATCTTAAAAACAAAGATTTGTAACATGAGACCGCTTTATTCAGTGTTTTTTACCTGATCCATTTGTTTTGGAGAAGTAAAGACCTCCAAGGATAATTCCAAAGTTTAACCTGGTTGCAGTCTGCAGTCCTCACAACTAGATGCCACTAAATCATATGAATCCCACACACTGCTCCTTTAAGAAGAAGCTGGAATCTGAGAATCGTACTTTTTTTTTTCTTTAAAAACTAGTCAGACTGGTTAATAATCGACAGACAATTGATTAATCATTGCAGTTCTGCCCTGTCTAACACCACCCCATTCCACCCTGAGCAGAGGTCTAATCAGACAAAATGTGTAGGTGTGCAGAGCCTCAAATTAACGGACTGCTCATATCAGACCATCTGCCAAAAACATAGGAGAAAAATATCTTTATCCAAATCTCTGCTTTAATGACTGCCTGAAGTTTTTGCTTGAATACGCCAACATAGGTATTTCGATGTGAACAAAGTGTGTCTATGTCCAAATTCCAATTGTACCACTACATACTCAGGGTGTGTACAGGTCCTTAAAAAGTCTTAAATTGTCTTAAATTCAGATTGGATGGGTCTTAAATATAAA